TCGCGGGATCGGATCGTGGCACTTTAATGCACCATGACAAACAACCGACGTTCGGGCGGGGGAAGGCTACAACGACGGATCAGGTTTGAGCCCTGCGAAAATCACCACGATCTTACGGGATCGCCGCGATGGGACAGTCCGGAACGGCGGTTCGAACGAGAGGGGGGGAGGGAGAGGGGGAAGAAGATGTAATTTGCAATCAGACGTCGAAGTCGCAGGACGAAAACAAGGAAGTTCCCTCGCGCCCGATTGGCTCCCAGCCAAGTGACGGATCGCCGTGGTCTTGCCTGGAGGGGTGGCGTTTTGTCACCCTTCGCAAACGCGAGCAGCCACCCTACGGAAGCTTAACACTCACCTTCTCTCCGCTCCGAGCGCTCTGGCTTCCCTCGGCAAAGCCCAACTTCTCTCTCTCTTTTTCTCTCTGTCTCTCTCTCTCTCTCCCGGATTCCCTTTCCTTCCCTTCTATTCCCTTCCACGTGCGACCTCAAACCCGTCTTTTTCGGTCGGTGATAAATCAAATGCGGGGCACTATTTGCGAGAGCGCGCTCTCGAGCGCTGGCTTTGCCTTCGCTGCCTAAACGAACGACTGCGGTAAATGCTGCTTTTTCGCGCGCGTCCCATAACTCACAATTTCGCTCTCGAGACTGTCGGTCGGAAGCTCCGGCCTGCGTGCACGCAGCTCGCTGCTCGCCAAAGTTTATTTACTCGCTCATCTACGAAATAGACGATCTGCAAACTAAGGGCACGGCGCTCGGCTTTTACTCCGCGAGCGCGGCCTCGTCTTTCAAACGACAACAAAATTGTATGTGCACTGCATTAAGACCTCCGCCGCGATACTCGAAACCTTTTTTTATAATTTATTATTCCGTGCTCCTGATGTGAATACTAGATCTTCTCCCATGTAATATCTCGTGTAATTGCGAAAGCGCAAGATCTCTCTGATATTGAAACTAATAACGTATTCCGGCGAGCAGGAGAAACAGTTCGAGATCAGTCCAATATCTCGGAGGTATGCATTTAGCAGGCGAACACTCAGGATGATAAGACACGGCACTAATTTTGTAAATAAGTAGGCCGACGCCCCCCGGGACGAAGTTTCGGGAAGTATTCGGCGCGTAAAACGTGTCTTAACGCGTGCGGAAAAACAGCACGGTGTGTCGCGCAGGAGGCGAGAATATGTATATTTTAGCCGGGGATGGATAGCTTTAGGACTCATAACGGCGTATTTTCGTGCATCGTAACTTCGTTGCGAGCACTTTGCACACAAGGAACATAAACTCGAATTGAGTTTGCCAATGCCAAACTCCTCTAAAAACACACTGCACCGCACGAGCTCGAGCGTGTACTGGCGCACGTCTCGCGGAAGTTCACGCGGCTTTCACGGGACTTATAATATAACGGCATTGTGGTAAACACCGGCGGTTAGTATTACACCGCGCGGGAAATTGCACTCGCGATAAAGTACCTCCCTTTCGAACGCAGAGGGAAATACGCGGCGTCCAGTACGGCGGCGCGCGACGCCGCTTTTACGATTGACCTTTACTACTGCAGAATAAAAAAATCACCCGCGGAGAGCGAGAGCGGAGTTAGCGCCGGCGGCTGGAGTTTGCTAATAAATCGCCACCGACGCGCGTTTTCCCTCGTAATTTATCCCTCGCCAGGAGAGCCTATGAAATATTTTAATTAATTGACACCACGCGCGAGGAAGCGAACGTTCAGCTCACAGTGATTTTCGACATGGGTCCGAAATTAATGACGCACAAATGTAAATGAGTGCGGAAATGCAAGAGTACGGTTTGTATGTTCAAAGCGCGCAATTAGTAACAAACGTGGCTATTTGGCGCGAGGTTTCATCAGGAACGATTGTAAACGGGACATCGGAATTCATCGTCTCGAATAATTTGATTCGGCGATCGCGCCGAATTTGGGCGAAAACCGTGTCTCACAATCTGTATTTTAACGCCAAACGAACGCGTGTTCCCCGCACGATCGTGTGTATGCAAATAGTGAAAAAATTATTGTTGCCGACTAATATGTTTCATGTACGATGAATATGCGAGCATGCATACGAAATGGAGGGTACATGTTTTATTCACCATCCCCGAAACACGCGTTTCGTTTGGGAGTGAGAGATGAGTCATATTCCCCGACAAAGTCGGTCCCGCCAACGCCGATGACGCCGAAAGATCTCGTAACGGTACACGATGAATACGTGATACACGTAACGGGAGTATGATAACTATTTAAAGTAGAATGCCGCGCGACAACTATGTAATATTTCGTCGCTTCGGAGCTATTTACTTAAACGTAGGAGTTTCATTATAACATTCCCCTCAAGGAATCTTCCGCGCGCAACATTGTGTAACACCGCGCGCGCTCGAATAATTCTATCAAAGCCAGGAAGAAACGGATAGTGACATTGAGCACAATTGGTGATTAATATTATCAACAATAATTGATTTCATAGCAGCTCGATATTTCCATTTTGTGCATGTCATTATGTAGATAGGATAGAAGCGTCCCGCGCGTAATTAGCCGGGGAATATATCCACAACGAAATTATTTTAATATCATTTCCTCTCTCCTCTCGGCGGAATATGCCGGTCGTGTTTAATACGCTTGCGTATATTTAATACGGACGAACGTATATATACCGATAATACACGATATAAATTACAGTGCGCGCGGATAAAAAGCGCCGCGCCGCGCCGAGCCGAGCCGAGCTTTTTCTACTTTTTATTGAAATATCGATGGCGATGGCGATTTCCTTTAATTTTAAATACACATCGTGTATGCGCGCGCGCACATGTGCGTATCGTGCGGGTAAATATCCGCGCGGGTATTGACTTTTTATAATTGGGCGTCTCGCCTCTCATCTTCATTACGAGCGTAAGAGCCGCTCGGGCTGCCGCGTTTAGCATTAAATTCGCGAAACGCTTGACCGACGTGTACACTCGGCCTGGAGTTTTCGAACGGATACTCGCATTTAGCGCTAAACTCCGGTCCGGATCCGCAGTCACCGAAGTTCGCGAATCTCCCACCCTCCTCCCCTCCTCCCCCCTCCCCCCGCATGGGGATGGAGGGTACATCTACTCTCCCGCTTGAGCGGACTAAATTACTCGGTTCTTGCGCTCCGCTCGTTGTACAGTGCACTCGATATCGATCGAGACGGTGCTTTTTTGAACAACTCGTTAACAACGCGACTCTCGAAACTTTCTTCCGCCGTCTTCCTTCGTACGTGTGCCACGTGTGTACACGCGCGCGCGCGCGTACGTGTCTTCTCGGATAAACTTTAATATCACGAGGAGCGGAGAGAACGAGAGAGAGAGAGAGAGATGATCTGAAACGTTGGGTGCACTCGAGTACACAACTTTAAATCGTCACCGCCAGAATTTCCCCGATTCTACACAGCCGCGTGACACTCAAGTGGGAAACGGACGTTGCAAGACGACGGGCGGAGAGACGAGGAAATTCTCAGAAGTTCCTCTCCGCGCGCATCCCATTATCCTCACCGGACATCCTCGTCGAGATCGGATCAGATTTTCTCGACTGGACTGGTAAATTTACTTTTTCCATTAGCGGTTCTACAACACAACGACAGAAGGGAGGGGAGAATATGAATTCTTCGGAATTACTCGACCCGAATTCCATCGTAGAAATTCTCCTCCGTTCCGCGGGAGTTGTACTCGAGTCGGCGGTGATTCTTCTTTTTCCCAGCTTCTTTCTCTCTTCCCTCTTTCCGCAGGATCCACCGTTAGAGAGAGCGATGGGGCGCGGCATGGTGCTAAAAACCCTCTCGTTTCGCCCTTGTATTTAATTGAACGGATCTAACGAGTTAATTACGATACCGGGAGCGACCCGAACTACACCGGCCGAGATCGTTATTGCTATCTCGCTTCAGAAATAGGGGCACATCGTCCGACCCCCCCCCCCATCGATTTTTCTTCGCGACAAAATTTCTATATCGGGCAAGATGTAACGCGGGTAGTAAACGTAATAGAAATATCAGAAAATTGTGTAGTCAAATGGAAAAATGACACCGTATAACCGACCGGCGCGGAAAGCGATATCGTTACATATTTAGGTTGCGGCCAAGAAAAAAAAGAGACGAAATTACGTGCGAAGCATACCCCACATTCTCCTCGCGACGGCCCCATTGAAATTTCTCAATACCAAATGTATTCGGATCTCGCTCCAAGTATTTCGAACACGTTGCACGGCGCTCGCGGATCCGCTAATTCACTCGTAACAACCCCCTTTTACCCATTTCCAGCCCGATTACTATCTATGCGGTACCGAACATTACCGCCGTTATCTGCGACCGTTGCATACCGCCGGCGCGCCGTAATGCAGCTCGTAACGACGGGGGCCGGTCCGGGATAAAAGAAAGGGAGGAAGGAGGGGAGAGAACAAAAAATGTGTCCAGCGCCGCTAGATGAATACGAGATAAGCATGCGAACGTCGCACTTCTCTCGATACCGGTGTAATGCCCGGCCACTTTGAAAGCGTCACCTCGCATCGTATCGCGCTATAGAGAGAGAGAAAGGGGGAGGGGGGGGAGAGTCTTTTTTTTCTCGTGCATGTTTTTCGCGTCGCGTCGCGCGAAACTCTGTACGAGCGCGAGTACTTGGCGGGACTACTGATTTCCATAAAATTATTACACGCTCGTGCGCCCATGCCAAAAATTTGCATACCGCGAGCTGCGTTCCGGGCTACGGTGCCGCGCGCGACAGAAAGGGAGACTGAAATAAAAAGATTTCGGGCTTCCGCCGTTTTCCATTCCGCTCTAATCGCGTTTTCGTGTCCTCCTCCCCCGCGCGCCGCGCGAACGCTAGTTCTTTCGCGAGATATTTCTCTTCCCCTCCCCCTCCCTCTCTTCGACATTTATGATTGTGCCGAATATGATTCGATTTTCCATGGATTGGGAAAATTCTTAGAGGAACGGGAAGCCCTACAGGGCGAAAAGAGATGGAAATTGTAGAAACGAACAACTCCTCTCGTCATTTCTCTTAAAAATTTAATACATTTTTCATGCTATCTCTCTTACACTAATGTCGTAACGACATATATCGGTAATATTACAATTATTAAACATGACAGTTTTTATTGGTATAATACTATTTAGTTTAAATCAATATCGAGCCTCCGCACTTTCACGAATTCGCCTTGTCGAAGGAAAATATTACAAAATGAATTATCGATTTATTTATTTACATGATCTTATTGCAAGATTGTATTTTATTAGATGTGCCATTATCATCATGTTTAAAAAAAATAAATTGACATATATATATATAAAAGTCGCGACGTCGAATAAAATCTCATTTGAATTAAGTACTCTTTAAAACACGGTTGTATTTCAAATGTAAAATATTTTTAAAGGATCTTTCGAAACGTTAGTCCGTTCAGAGGAATGTTAATATAAATCTTCCTAAAAAGCCGGAATCGATATTCGAAAATTCGATTCGTTTTCTATGTCGCGTTCCGCGCGTTTTCTCACTGGCCATTGCTTTGTATTCGAATCAAAAGTGATAAGATAAACGATTACCAATCCCGGTTTCTCTCGGACGCTCTAGTCGCTTCTAGTCGTCGTATTCGGGCATAACAAAGAGGCCCGAGATTCTGAGATATTCATCGGCCCCGGTGTCGAGTAGTTAATTCGTCCGCAGCTGGTAATCCCCGTTCTGCGTGATGTAACGCACCCATGGCAGGGCTTGATAGCCGCTCTTCTCAATGATCTTCAAATATCGCACCTGAATGCCGGACGTAGTGAAGTATGGTATCTCGAACTTGACTTGTATGGGCGGTTTGCCTTCGACGTCTTCGCCGACTACCGACGGCAACCCGAAATGTGCTCTCATTAGATATTCTTTGCCGCCAGGGAAGGATTTGATGATCCAAGTGATGGCGCTCTGTTCTGGCGAATACTTAACGCTGCCAATTGTAGTTTTGAACTTGGGCGAATCGGCGTCGTTCGGCACCGGGATCACGATTTCCACGTTGTTCGCCGTGGAACGACGCTTGAACTGCGACCTCGCTTTTATCATGTACTCCACTCGGCTGTGAGCGTGCCGCTCGATCACGGATTCGATCCAAATCAGTGGTTTCACATGTGTATTTAATCTATATGACATCAGCTCGAACTCGCCGTCCGGCGGAATAAACGAGATGGTGCGATCGTTCTCGAAACGAGAAAGTCTTACGCACTGATGGAACTTGACATCCTCCAGTTCTACAGATTTGGACTTGCCGCGACCTGTCGACTCGAACAAGACCTTATCGTTCAAGCCTAATCTCAATTCTGGCATTCCCGATAAGTAGACTCTCATCTTTATTGCACCTACAATCTCCGAACTCAAGACATTCCCGTTGGCATTCGCAAGTAGATTTACCGATTCTATTACGTCGAGAAAAACTTCATTCTTGCGATACTTAATGCCCTCTGATCGCCACGAAACAGCATTGGTCACAGCCATTGGAATCCTAGGTTGAATCTCCAATTTGTGGCCCTCTTGAGTTATATATTCTTGCAGAATCTTGCTATCGGTAGTTTGAGGATAGCCAAAGTCCAATAGCTCATCAAGGAGCTCATAAATGACAACAAAGTTGTCTCTTATACTCTCCTCCTCCAACTCTTTGAAATACTCTTGCATGACATGTACTACCTTGTGCAGGAATACAAATACTAGGGATATGTTCGCATTTTTCTTAGTAGTAGACACGATATACAAATTGTTATATTTTATATAAGCGTATGTACATTCCGGTGTCTGAATAATAGGAGTAAGATTGCCCTCCTCTTCACGTTCCATCACTAGTGGCATGAATTTTTCTATGACACCGGTCTCGATGTCGCCGCGATAGTTCCGCGAGATCAACACCTTGCCCTTTACGTCCAAAATGTATATTGCTGACGTCGACATCTTGTCTGTAAGCAAAAGAGAAAAGAGAGGTTAAGTTTCTTATCTATATTCGAAATTCTACTTTTAAATAAAAAAAAAAGACATATGAAATAATGCATACGATTGACACTTATTACAAAAACATAATTGTTATTCTAGTAACCGAGACTATCGAATGCGATCGATATCATCCGAACGTTTAGGTTATGATTGGCAAAATAAGAGTTTCAAGACGAGATTGTCAAGAGATTGTTTGCAGTGAAATGATAATTGTATCGAAGGAGAGATCGCGAAAAGTGAGGCAGTAATAATAAATGCAAGTAAATTTAATGCATATCAATTTTCCGATGGAAAGTATCGGCATCGTTCTGAAAGAATATTGATATATTTACCCTAGAGTACGACGCTGCGAGAGAATCCCTCAAGTGCGTTTTACGTATCTTGCGTTTACATTTAGATGCACGACTTTCCACGATATTGATACGACAAAATCTAACGATGAAAAAAATACAACTCCACCACCTCGCGCTTCCGGGCTGCCACTGTGGACCGTCGCGAAGTTGTTCGAGGCGCGCGTCGCGCGCATGCGTCAGCGACTAACTTCACGCGGCATATCGACCGCGACGCTGCTTGCCGTTCGAACGTTGTATAAAATAGAAATGCTCGTGTCGATACGTCGTTATTAAGGTATGACGAATCCATTTAAGACCATAGAGACTTCTGCTATAGCGTGTGTCGATATAGAATTAATACGCGACGAATGTATGTAAGAAATAATAATGAAAGCATTAAATCCCCGAGCGAAAAGAGAATAGATTAGTAATGGAAAGCTAAATGAAAAATGGCGTATAGGCGAACCATTTATGATTTTATCATGATATCTTATGTTTTGAAATGCAAAAAGATATTTTGATATCTATACATGATATTTATGTGTATTTATATAAATATATATTTATATACATAATTATATATTAATATATGTTTTTTTTTATTACATATAAATATATAATTATTATGATACATATTTCGATATATATTTCGTAATCTCACTGTCTGTAGAACATTTTACGCGGAATAATGTATACTTTTATCTCCTACACCTCTTTTTAATTCGCCTGTGTATAATTCTTGAAGAGGAAAGAGACTTAAGGAGATCCTCCAAAGGAGGAGAATACCGATAAAACTATACTACATTCTCTTTGTTCGTTAATCCGGACTCATTCGGGCGGATACAAATATTTCTAAAATCGCGCTTAATACAGCAACGGAGGTAAATCCGGTCTAAGGCATTTTAATCTGTACTCCGTGTTTCACGAAACATTAAATCCTACTTGAAGCCGTTTCGCAGAAAGCGCGCAGTATCTCCGGCAAAGTAGCGCCTTCCAACATTAAGATTCTATACAACTGGAAGTCATTTAATCTCGGCGGAAGATTTCAACATCGAGGCTACTCCGCGAGGAAAGGAGCGATAGCGCACTGCAGGATATCCCGTGCGGAGTTTGAAAACAGAAAATAAAGGCGAGACTGTTGCAAGGCAAATTCGACAAACAAGAATTGCGCGTCGCTCTCTCTCTCTCTCTCTCGTCGGGACGGGCTTTTCGCGAGAATCACGTTTATTATATAAGATTCAAGTAACAGCGAGCGAATATAAAGACGATTTTATCGAACGGTCCTCGTACCAGATGCGGGTCACATAAAATTAAGATCGATCATCAAACTAAAAATCCTCGTTTCTTTCATCATGTCTCCTTCGAACGTGGAGGATAAGATAAATTAGATGAATTAGATATTGCGAAATGTAATAACGCGAGATCCGCCGCGCGCGTCTCGAGTTTCTCGCGGATTAAAATTTTATCGCGGCGCGAATAAGTCTTAAGAGTTTCGCAAATATCTTCGGAATCGTAAACAACCTCCGCGCTAACGGCAGCGCCGTTCGATCGATTTTTTAGCGTTTGCCGCATACGCCGATAGACGCGAGCGGTATATCGGTTGCATTAAACCGGCTGCAAATATAC